GTGCTATTAATTCTAATAATGATGTATGACGTTGTTCACATATACGACAACGATATTCATTCATTTCAAGCATATGTTTATCATCAATATGTATAGCAAGAAAATATGGATTTGAAAATTCGGATTGACAATGTAAACATTTGGTATTTATTTGTTCAAATGGTGAATTTGTATTTGGTTGAAATTGTTGTTGTTCATGATTATTTTGTTGATCAAAATGTTGACAAAGATGTGTAATTAATTGAATATTATTATCAAATAGAAGATTTTCACACATAGGACACTAAAATAATCATGCATATATTAATTATGAAATGAAACATTTTTGTTTTTAATATTTAAATTGTTTTATTTACTTGACTACGAAAATCACCATAATCGGATAATGGTAAATTTCGACCGGGTTTTTGACCATAATATTTTGATAGAGCTCGTTTATAAGTATGTTCTGACAAGAAGAAAAAGATAAATTATTTGAAAAATTTAGTCAAGAACAACACATACCAAGTTCGACTTCAAGACCTTCTTCTATAAAATAAAAATGAAGATTATTGTTTTTAAAGATAAAGAAATGAATAAAAAAAATTACCTCGCGTTCTAACTGTGCCTGGTTTAAGACGAGGCAATGGTTGATCACGTGGATATTGTGTAGAAGCATTTGGTGCGAAAGCTGGTTGAAGAAATGGTATTGTAGCTTTTCGTGTTGGTTCTGGTTTAACAAATTGTGTTTGATAAAATTGTCCACGATTTTGACGTTGTTGATTATTATTTGTTTGACGTTGTTGTTGTTGCTGTTGTTGTTGTTGAAACGACATTGGTTGTCGAATATTTCGATAAGAATTTGCGTTATTATTATTATTATTATTATTATTATTACGATGATATGTTGATGGATAATTATTAACAGTTGAATTATTTCGTTTTGACCATGGTGGACGATCATCTTGTTGACGATTAAGCCAATCACGATCACGTACTGTATCATCATTATGATCGAATTCATCAAGATTCCATTCATCATATTCATCATATTCATTTGTATCATCATCAACATAATTTGTACGATAAGTTGAACGACGTGTTGTAGAATTAGTCATTGAAGTTGTTGTTGGTGGTGGTGGAGGTGCTGGTGGTTCACGAGGATGTATACGAGGGCGACCAACAGGATTACGTGGTTTTGGTGCTATACCATTTGTTGTATCTGTTCGATCAAGAGCCTAATTTATAATAAAATAAGTATAAAAATCATTTTGAAATAATCTAATCTGAGCACGTACGAGTACGTACTCATACTCGTATTCAAAGAGACGGTACTCATAGTTGCACTCGGCGGTCCGTGCTGAGGAGCTGTGAAGCCTTCCAGATCCACACAAACGTCCATCTGTTGCTCTCTTCTTGCTTTTTCTCGTTTACATAAACATAACTAAAACTAAGCTGTACAGCTAAAGATTTTTACTGGCGAATTTGGTTTTATCAATTAACTGTTCAATTTCCTTTATTATTCGCATAATCGTATTTGAAACTAAACAAAAACTTTTAATTTATTAAACATCGAGTGATGGAAAAATGAACAACAAAAAATAATTGTACGTTGACTTTTTTCCTCAGAGTAACCCATAAGGACCTGGCCGAGTCTTGAATTTTAACTTTTCTCAGATCTGAATCCATAAAAATCATGGACCTGCAACTCTCTAGCTTCTACTTGAGAACATTCGTACTTGTTCAGTTCTGAAAAAATAATATTTACTTTAACAGGACAATGTGCTAATTGAACTTCAGATAATTGTTCTTCCATACAATTCATATTTAATTCAATATCAATTGTTTGTTTTGTTTCATTTAATAATTGTTTCATAGTATCATCGAAATTTTCACGTATTGGTGATGGTGAAAGTGTTTGTTGTTCATGATGATGATATTGTTTACTATTATTTCGATAAGGTATTTGCATGCGTTTATTAGTTAAATTATTATTATTATTATTATTATTATTATTATTTACTGGTGTTGTTTGTTTAGCGCGTATACTTGCCATATCAGATCGAAAACGTTTAGCTGATAAATTTGAATCATTCAAATTAAGTTTATCCATAAGTGAACGTGAGTATGTTGTAAAAAGTGATGGTACAGCATCAGGACGTAATGTTGTAGGTCCTTCAAAATCATTTTGAGTAAAATGTTCACGACAAATTTTAAATGTTGAAGTTGATGATGATACGGGATGATTTTCATAACCACATATATCAAGCCATTTACGAGCTATTATTGGATCACGTGGTATTTTATATAATTGTACACGATGACGACGTGCAACATAATTATGTGCACAACCTTCAATATGACAACGATTTGATGCTTTATTTTCAAACTAAAATTAATGCAAAAGAAAAAAACAATATTTACAATTCAATTTCTTCGTTTTTTTAAAAATGAAATTTTCTTACATTATCATGATGATTTAATGATGGTTTATTAACAATAAATGATTGATTTTTATTATCAATTTGTTCTTGTTGTATATGATTCATTGATGTTGTTGGTGCTAAACGTGTTTTAACATGACCACTTTCAAGATTCATTTTTAATATAGGTTCCAATGTTCGTCCATCTAAATCAGGATTACTTGTATGAAATGTAATATTTGTTTTTTTAATTGTTTTATTTGATTCTTGTAATTTATCTTGATATGCAATCATTTTATAGAAAACTTCTAAATCAAATAATGTTGGCAATGATTTTGGTTTAAGTACTTTTGTATTATTTCCAACATAATCAAAACATGGTTCTTCAAAATGTTGTTCACATATACGATGTGTATGTGATGGTATTAAATCAGTACGCATAGTATTTTTATACCATGCTGCAGCAATATTTGCCACATGTACTGGTACAGCAAAATATTGTATAGATGGATTTGTTTGAATACCATTTGGACATCCTTGTACAATACATAATGGTTCATTATTATTTAAATGTGCCCTAAGATAATAATGAAAATATTTGTTTTTTTAATTTAATGGTAACTAAAGACGGCGACCATTTCGACTTACATCCCACCTCGTTGTTGCTACTTCGATACAACAACGAATAGTAAATTAGAACTAGCAGTGGACACTGGCGTGCTCCGTCGGTGATGCAGAAGCGGCGGCGCAAGGGAAATATGCAACGATGGGGGAATGAATGGCGACACCAGTAGAGAGGCACAAATACGTCGAGTAACTGTGGAGGATAAACGACGACGACGACGGCGACGACGGCGATAGACACACGTACACAGAGCAGAATGAAAGAAGCAGAAAAAAAACCGAGAGAGAGAGAAAAGAAAAAAGAGAAACAAACATACACGTAAACGAACCAGAATAACACGATTTTTCTTCTCGCATTTTTTCTCTTTGCGTTCTTCTGAATTGAGCTGAAAGAAATAATCATGACGAACTAACGGACGGACGCTTTATAGGTACAAACAAAGCTAACGGATGAACTTTTATTTTATGCATAGATACATTGAACTTCATACACTAACAAATAAATATTTGATTTCAGCAATATCTAACAATTGAAAATAAATGATGAAAACCACTCATAATTTTTCACAAAGAACAACCTAGCCAAAAGAAAAAAACCAGTCTCAAATGATAGTTTATTCTAAGATAAGAATCGACATAAACAAAACAAAAATTTTTTTTTGTGTTCCTGTGAAAAAGACACAACATAGTGTAATATGTATTATTCGTTATCAGTTGATATCGAATCAAAATATTTAACATAGTTAAGTAATAATGGAAGAATATAGTCAGGCATGATTGTTCGTAACCAATTGAGAAATATAGTTTCATTTTTATCAAATAAATGATAGATACTAAGAAGATTTTGTTTGGTTAAATGGTGATATTCAAGAATTCGACAACATTCTTCATTGATTAAATCTTTAGTTGATTTTGATGAAGATTTAAATAAAGTAAAAAATCGACGAATTTTATCAAGAAATGATATTGATTGATTAGGTAATGAAGATATTTGACAAGGATTTTTTTGTTGAACAATTAACTCAGACAGATTATTAATTGAAGTTTTTAAATCTTGAATATTTTGATTTATACGTAATCTTGATTGGCTTCTTTTATAATGTTGTTGTGCATCTAATGAAATAGAAAAAAGAAAAGAAAAGAAAAGAAAAGAGTTATTAAGACAAATTTTGCAAATGTATTTTATTTAGACATTGTACTTGCAGATTTATTCTTATATTTATATTTTCTTTCTGATTCAATAGAAGAATATGTTTGTTCAGTTATTTCACTTTCATTTGTATTTGATAATGTTGAAAGTGATGAAGAAGATGTTTGACTATCAATATCATAATTATGAATATAATGACTGTTTATATTTGTAGTTGAATCAAATTTTTTTCGTTTTTGATTTGAACTTAATTGGCTTGATAATGAAATACTTCTTTTTAAACTTTGAGATGAATGTATAGGATTATATCGTTTATTTTTTATCATTTTATTATGTTTTTTTTTCTTTTTATAACATTGAATACGACAATCAACTTGAAGTTTATTTAAACAACATGTATCTGGATTTTTTATTAAATTATTTTCTTTAATATCTGTTTCAATAGTAGAAAAATTATTAAATTTTGGATGAAATAAATTATTAGTATCATATGGACAACAAGGTGTACATGTTCGATAATTTAATAGAGATTTTTTTGAAGAAAATAGAGAAGAATTATTTTTATTCTCGTTGAACAAATTCATTCGATAAACAAAATATTTTATTTGTTTTATTATCTAATAAAAAAAAAAAAAACAAAACAAAATAAAGTTCATCTTTGGCGCCTTGCCGATCGAAAGCACGATGACGTTTATCTATTTGTTTTTTTTTTTTTCTTGTTTTCATTCTGTAGTTTGTATTGGAAACAGTTCGACTAACGTATCTATCCGATGTTTCTTTCTGTTAGATTGCTATTAGAATTATCTTTTAGATTATTTCTTTTTATGGCTCCAGGACAGAAAAAACCACAACAAAATGGACAAAAAAAGAAAGGATATAATCCATATAATAAATTTAAAAATCGATTTTGGAAAAAGAATAAAAAAGATAATGAAAACTCATCGAAACGGGATGATGAACGACATAATCAAAATCATTCACATGTAGGACCTTCAAGTCCAGTTAAATTTATACAACCACCTATAAGTAAATAATAATAAGAATATATTTTATAATTTTTTTAAAAATTTTATTTAGCTACTTATATTGATATTACTGAAAGACCAGCACGTTACCGTGGTTGGTCACTGTATTTTCCAGATACAGGTTTATTTTATTGATAGAATTTCATCTGTATAGACTTTTGTTTTAGACAAAGAATCTGATCCAAGTTATTTATCGGTTTGTCTATTATTTGAAGATTATTTTAAACGTATGAAAAATTTATATGATTATGTATGTTGATTATAATTAGAGTTATGTTGACAATTTATATTTATTTATCTAGTCTGAAATTGAACAAAAACAATCGTTTACTATTAATTATCATGAAGTACTTGAAGATTCAGGTAGAGAATAATCAAAACAAAATGTAATTTGTTATAAAAAGTTCTTTTTATTGAATAGCTTTTCAAGACAAAAAACAAACTTGGAGTTTATTCTTTTCCGATCAAAATGAAACAACAATGCGAGTTATTGGTTTAGCTATGCATCAAGTACAGAATAACAAAGGGTGTAAAGGTTCTGCATTCATTTTATTTGTAACATAGGGTGACAACAACTCATCGTTGAAACTTAAGATAATTTCCTTGTTAGAAAGAGAAAAATCTCAACTACAAATCTGTATAAAAATATTTTCTTCAAAAATCGAGTTTTGTAGCGCTATAATTGAGCATTGTAAGCGAGTAAAAATAAATATTTTAAATCATTGGTTGAATTCAAAATCGACATTTTTCTAATGGCCTTTGCTAATAAAAATTGCTCACAAGTGATTTAGAAAAGCTTTTAATAGCACTTCAAGTTAGTGAGTCATTTATAAAAACGTATTATATGAAACAGAGCGGAGGTCTCACTGAGCTGTATTGGGTTCATTGGACGTTGTAAGAAGGAAAATTAAGTTTTTAATAAAACTATTTCTTATGAATTTTGTGGCTTTGTAACTTCAATATTTTGATACCAATAGAAAGCTCACGTCGTCTCTGTTAGACTCATACATAATGTGTTTGAGAAATATCGAATGCCAAATGTAAGACAAATCGATCAAATGCATTTCTCATCACTGATTTTTGTGTGTGAGATTACATGATACTTTTTATTCTGCGATTAGTATATTGAACATAATATTCTTACGTAGCTTTATAATGAGAAGTTTGCTCTTTCTAACAAGAAAACTATTGAGTCTCTATGACAAGTTATTGTCATGCTATACTGAAAAGGAAATTAGTACAGAACTTTTACACTAATTGTTAATTTTATTTCTTTTTGAAAAAAAAAACGAACTTCATTGTATTTAGTGCATTATTGATGAACAAGAAGAAAAAGATCGATTAGCAGCTAATGAATGTAATCATCCAACAGTACCACTTATTGATCTTCCAGTAATTCATGCACGTTTAGTTAATTTTTCACCAATGGTTCGATTAAAAGATGTCAAAGCTCAAGCTTATGGTTTTGTTTCTTTTTGTTGGTTTTTTTTCCCATCAGTCATTGTGAAGTATTTAGGTAAATTCGTGTCGATTCGAGGAGTTGTTGTACGTGTAAGTAATTCACAATGTTTGGTCGTTCGTCTGGCATACGAATGTTCAACATGTCGACATACATTTGGTGTAACATGTGAAAATGGTAAACATACAGAACCAGAACGTTGTCCAACACCAGGTTGTATTGGTCGATCATTTGCTCAACAACGTTCTCATCCATTAACAACTATTATTGATTGGCAAACAATTCGGTTTTTGAATATTTGTTAAAAATATTTTGATGAAAATGGTTTTTTCTTTTGTTTTTAGTTTGCAAGAAGTTGCTGCAGAAGCATCACGAGCACCTGGTCGTATTCCACAAACAATTGAATGTGAACTGACAAATGATCTTGTTAATAGTGCTATTCCAGGTGATGTTGTAGTTGTTTCTGGTGTTGTAAAATTAATGGTAGATGAAAATAGTATGAAAAACAGCAACAATTTTACTTTCCTATTTTAATAAATTCAAATGTGTTCCTTATTTTTTTTTGAGGTGGTTTACGTAAAATATCTGATCAATCATTACTTCAAGTTTATATTGATGTTAATTCAGTTGTTAATCAACGATTAAATACTTCTGATGCAGCATTAGGTGGTAACAGTTTAATGAATACAATGGATTTTTCTTTATTTGATTTATATGGTATTCAACAAATTCAACAACAAAAAAATGTTTTAAAGTAAATGAAATATTTATTTTTTTGTTATATATGATTTTACGCTACATGAATTTTTGTCAGAATTCAAATTTCTCGCATTAGCTTCTGTGAAAATCTAAAATCCTATAAAAAGTTGGTACATTCCGTAATACTAGGCGATATACAATTTCAATTGAAGTTAGTACCCAGTAGCACTACATACTACTGTGCATTCTGTTTTGATTCTATTAGAAGTGATGTGGTGTTTTAAGATAATTATTACTTATATGCAATAAACGTCAAGGTAAAAAGCGATATTTTCAATAGCTCTGATTCACTTTTAACTAATTTATGTTTGTTCATAAAGTTATTAAGTATAAATTCACTTTTTTATTGCAATCTTCTTGTTTCATAAACTAAAAAAACTACAGATAAGTAATACGTTTAACAGTAAAATAATAAGAACAAGAAAAAATATATGTCTAAAGAGAGTGTGGCAATGAACAATGGTGAATAGAAGCCTACTCATACGTATCCTTGAAATGTACTTTGCTTACAAAACGCTACAACTATAGTGTGATCTAAATTCATATTACTTAGCACTATATCGTGCTTTTGTGCATTATTTCTTTTTGCCCAGTATTATTATCATCGTGCTAGACACTATGTTTTATATCAAGTATTCATAGAAATAAGGCTTCTTTATGAAGATTAATGAGAAGAATTTCGAATTTTATTTTATTTTATTTTTCTGTTATAATAGACTTCTTGTTCATTCACTTTGTCCAAGTATATATGGACATGAACTTGTTAAAGCCGCATTATTAATGGCTTTATTTGGTGGATTAGTTCGAAATGAAGATGGTGCTGTAAGTTAAAAAGAGAATAAAACAAAAGGAGTTCTTTTTTCTATTATAATATTTAGTCTCATATTCCAATTCGTTCTGATCCACATGTATTAATCGTTGGTGATCCAGGTCTCGGTAAAAGTCAATTGCTTCATGCTTGTGTTAGTGTTGCACCAAGAGGTAGATAATGACGAAATATTTTTAATTTTATTTTGATTTATATTGGAACCTACTAATAAAAGGTGTATATGTTTGTGGTACAAGTTCAACTCAATCTGGTCTTACAGTTACATTACATAAAGATAAAGATGGAGACTTAATGTTAGATGCTGGTGCACTTGTTATGGCTCATCAAGGTTGTTGTTGTATTGATGAATTTGATAAAATGATATCACAACAACAAGTATTACTTGAAGCCATGGAACAACAATGTGTATCTATAGCTAAAGGTGGTATTATGGCAAGTATACCAGCTCGAACATGTGTTATTGCTGCTGCAAATCCAGTTGGTGGACATTATAACAAAGCAAAAACAGTAGCTGAAAATTTAAAGTATTGATTTTTATATTCATAATTTTGAAAAAAAGATTATTTATTGATTTAAGATTAAAAGGACCAATTTTAAGTCGTTTTGATCTTGTCTTTATTCTTATTGATCGAGCTGATGATGAACTTGATTATCGTTTATCTGAACATGTTCTTGCTCAACATAATCGTTCAATTCGTTCATCACATAATAATACAACAGTGAGTTTAAATCGAACACAAAATGAAGCAGTAACAGTGAATCATCGTCCAGAACAAATATCATCAACACTTCATGAAGAAATTCCATTACTTGAACATTTACGTCTTAAACTTGGTGAATCGATTGAACCAGTTGGACCAAATCTTTTACAAAAAGTAAACAAGTTTATTAATTTATATAAAATATCATTTATTTTTAATAGTATATTGCTTATGCACGTCGATATGTCAAACCTCGTCTTACACGTGAAGCAATTGATATTCTTAAAAAGTTTTATTTTGAATTACGTATTGCTCATCAACGTGATGGAACAACTCCTATTACTTTACGTCAACTTGAATCATTAATGCGTCTAACTGAAGTATTGAAAGCAAATGTTTTTATTGACGAAGGAACTATCCAAACTGGTATTTCCCATTTGAGCTCATATTGGGTTCACAAGGAGGTCTCAGTATAGCTAGAAAAATCTTAAAAGAATTAGTGTTTATGAACCTCTGGAAGCGAATTATGATTGTTTCATTGACTTTTTGATCCAACCTTAGGTATTTAACAAGATGTCAAATAACGAAATTTTGACCTTAAATTTTGCCCATGGATAGATCTAATGACTTTGAGAATATTCTGAAAGTTTTAGGCAAAAAAAATATTCGTTTGTCACAAAAACCGAGTTAAGTTGAAAACTCAATATCTCAACAACGAACCGTTCTTCTTGGCTGAAATTTTCAAGATATTTTAAGTGTTATTAGATCTATCTATAGGCAAAACGTTGGATTAAAACGTCATTATTCAATCTTTCAAAGAGTACCTAAAAAGAGATCAATAGTTTATTAAACTGATCATAACTCAGCACTAATTGAGCGAACATCTTTAGGTTTTTGTTATTCTCATTGAGACTTGCCTGTGGATTGAATATGATCTCAAATGACGGGTGTAATTTCGGATAGTTCCTTCATTAATATAAAAAGTATATAAATTTCTTTTTATTTTTAGGCTCGTGCTAAACTTGAATTACGGGAAGAATGCACTAAAGCAGATGCTCTAGATGTTGTACAAATAATGAAAGCTAGTATGATCGATACATATACTGATGAAAATGGTCAACTTGATTTTTCACGACTACAACATGGTTCCGGAATGAGTCGAGCATCAGAAGTTTGTATTCATTTAAATTGTTTTTTTTTTTTTTGATAAAAACAAAATTTTGGAATTTAGGTTAAGAAAATGATGAATGCTATTCGATGTGTTAGTGAAAAAAAGACAAATCCTCTATTTTCAATAGCTGAACTTAAACAAATAGCAACAGTAAGTATTCGATTGTTCTTTTTATAACTGAATGATTATATAATATTTTTTTCTTTAAATATATAGGATATTAAAATGAATATGGATAGGTTTGATGAATTAGTAACAAAACTCAATGATAATGGATATTTATTGAAAAAAGGTCATAATTTATATCAAGTTTCTTTAGTTGAATAGATAATACATTTTTTTAAATATTTGTTTATTACATTTTTGTATATTAGTGTCATTAGTCATGTAATTATTATTAGTTTTCTGTTTGGATATTTCTTTTTCATGTATAACATGTTTTATAAAAATAACAGATATTAATACGATATATAAATATTTATGTAAGTAAATATCCGTTTTGTAATTATAACAAATAGTATATGTCACTTCTAATACAGTCATTATAGAATTATAGCGAAGAAAAAAACAAACATTGTCTATAGTTATTAAATTATATTGAATAATGAAGGTTATATTTACCATCTCAATAAATATATTCATGAAGGCGAATTTCTTTTAACAAGTGCCTATGTTTTTCTCTACTCAATATTGTATAATCTGAATATCAAGAACATTATACAGACTTAAGATTTTTTTAATACTTTTATAATTGAATGATTTGATGACTAATCACAACTACTGCTAAAATAAATTAAGCAATGGAAAAAAACCACAAAAAAAAATGCGACATATATAATCGCTTCTTCAGGGCGACTGCGATTATTCAAACAAATTTGTTTTGAGTCGACCAATCATAATAAAAACAACATAAAAAATTTCATGTTTTTTTTTGTGAAAGAATGCTATGTTAGTAGTTTTTATCAGATTTCAATATATATTGAGAAACTAATGTAAAAGCAAATAGGTAAACTATCATTTATTCTTCTTTGATGTTGTAAGCTAGCTAAGTATGCAGATAAAAAACATAGTTTGAATAATTTTATAATGATTTCAAAGTTGCTTGTTTGTTCTAAAGTATTTTATTCATCCGTTAATGATCAGAGAAAATCAAAGTTTGGCACCCAATAACTCATAACAAACAAAAATTAAAAAACTTGATTTTTCTGTTCAATATAAATTATGATTAATATAGATATGGTTATCAACTGTTCTATTTTAATGTCAATATAACATGAAACTGTTTTTGATAATATATTCTAAACGAGATTTCTTTTTCCCACAAATATAATTCATTCGACATGTTTATTTAACTTGTTAGTTTTATGCATTGTTTATTTCACGGGGACAAATATAATAAATTTTCTATCGAACAAAAATCTCATCGAATAATTTAATTAATCGAATAATGAAAAAAATTATTTTTTTACACTAGTATCTTCAATTAATAATTAATCTGCTGTTTTAAAACATTTCTTTATAATGACCTTGAGTTAATACAATTGTTTGCAGAGTTTTTATTTTTCTTTCTTCTTTCAACATTGACATTTCTTATTCAACAACATCGTTTTTTGAGGCTTGGTTACCGCAAAAATATGCGCATTTAAATACGAAAAACTAATATAACTTCATAAACATCAATTTTTTTCTATTTTTATCCTATCTGCTACTTCATTTCTTCCTTGCAAGAAAAAACTTCATTACTTACTCGTATCAGATCTGTTTTTCTATTTGACTTCGAAGCAAAAAAAATTCCTATAACACATAAAGGTTAATAGAAGCTGATCAAATACACCTACAACTACCGAACAGAGAGAGTAGTAAATACTCGTTCGAGTCTTTCAATCGATTTGAATCTGAGCCGATCAACAGCATCTATTTGACGTGTGAGCTGATCGAAAATAATAAAATAAGAAAAAATATCTTTTTTAAATCATGTATCGAGCACAACTTAATACGCGTTATCAATCAAATCGATTATCTTACGATGTTAATGCACCTCAAAAAGCAATTTATCGTATTCGATCACAAACTAATGAACAGCGAACTCAATTTATTATTGATACATTTTCACATTTTTTTCAAGCTAGTATTCGTGAAAATCCAACTGCATTTCGTGGTCGTTTTCGTAAAATGGCAGCTACACCATTTAATTTTTATCGTGGTTCAGCAGTTTTATTTTATCAAGATTTAAAAGTCGATCAAGATCCATTTATTGCCAGAAATAATGCTGCTGGACAAATTTTTATTCATGTAAATAAATAATTAAAATATCAATAAAAATAATTTTTATTTATCTATTACTAGGGTGATTTGCATGCAGAAAATTTCGGTACATATTTAGATAATCATGGTATTCTCAATTTTGATGTGAATGATTTTGATGAAGGTTATATTGGTCCATTTACATGGGATGTTAAGCGTTTAGTAGCTTCGCTTAATTTGATATGTTATTCAAAAGGTTTTTCAGATCGAGAAATTGAACATATACTTATTATTTGTATTGAAGAATATTTAAAACAAGTTTATGATTTTTGCAAACATGCAAAAGATCGTTTTGCATTAACATTAAGAAATACATCAGGCAGAATAAAAAAATTATTAAATGAAACTCGCGTTAAATCTCATGTTGCACATTTGGATTCAATGACTCATATTGAAAATTATGATCGACGATTTATTCGTTCAAAATATATTCAAGATGTTGATGGTAATTTACGTGATGATTTAACGCGTGCTTTTAAAAGATATTTAGAGACAATACCAGAAAATAAAAGAAATCCAGAAAAAAACTTTAATAATGATCAAGTAACATATAAAATCAAAGATATTGTAGCACGTTCATCACCTGGTATTGGTTCAGCTGGAAAAGTTTCTTATTCATTTTTAATTGAAGGACGATCTGAAACATTAGAAAATGATGTTGTTCTTTATATGAAACCAGCACAAAAATCTGCTGTATCTTATGTTGTACGAAATCCAACTATAGAGGAATATTTTAAACATGATGGTTTACGAACAGTTTTATGTTCATACGCAATGCAAGCAGCAACACCTAAATGGTTAGGTTATACAACATTAGGAACAACTCCATGTCTTGTTGATGCAGTGACAGCACATTCAGAAGATCTTGATTGGTCTGATGTTAATGATTTTCAAGATGTTGTCGAAATAGTTCAATATCTCGGACGAGCTATGGGTAAGAATCATTTATTTTGTTTAATATTTAGAGAAATAAAATCAATATTTTCTTTTCAGCAAAAATTCATTGTGTAGCTGATTCAGATTGTATAAATACACCACATGCTGTAGAAGGTTTACCATTTTCAATTATACCAAGAGATACTGAACATACAATTCGTGATGCTGTGCGTGGACAAGATGATGCGTTTATTCAAGATATACTAGAATTTGGCATGGTAAGGATGTTAACGTTGTTTTTTTTTTGTTAAGAATTAATCGGAAATTTTGTATTTTAGATATATGGTCAACAAGTACGACGTGATCATCATCTATTTTTTGAAGCATTTCGTAATAATCGAATTCCAGGCCTTTGAAGACAAATTATTGAACTTTTTTATCCTCTTCCTATTTTATGTAGATTTTAATCTAGATTCTTGAAATACTTTTTATAAATTAAAACAACGAATTTTTTAATCATAAATATTGAAGAGCAAAAAAGAATAATATGAGAATGAAAAGTAAATGAGACGTTGTTCATTAATAGTCAATTTTAGAAATGCTCACTAGAGTTGCTTAAATCGTCAAACTAGATTCATAGAAGTGAATGCTATCATAAAAAAAGTATTTTTCTTATGTAAGATCAATATATAGTTAATTAATATATTTGTGAATCAATCAATATAGTACTACGTAATATGAAGTCAATATTATTATATCTTTTGGATGATAGAATACGTCAGCAAGCATAATAGTTTTGACATGATAGAATACGTCAGCAAGCATAATAGTTTTGACATGATGCATCTAACTCATAAAAGCAGTTGTCGTGAAATTATTTTTGTAGATACTTTCTTCGCATTTACCTGTTTGTTTGCTCGGTCAAGGTATATAAAGGAAAAAGAATATTCGTTTATACAAAGTGAAACCAATTTTTGTACAAACAAGCTTCTTTTTTAATCTACTTTTCGAGTAAGCAAATTGATTTTATATTTATATATCGAGTCTGATTGGAATAATTTTTCTTGATTTGAATAGTTCGTTTTCAATGATCTATGGGTCTTAGTACTTTATTTCTTTTTGGCATTAACCCTTTGAGGACCGAATTTTTTTATAATCGAAAAACACATTTTTCAACCCTTTTTTTTTATTTTAACTCAAAATGGCTATATAAAAATGTTATGATAATCAAAAAAAAAACAATCCTTTTCATCTTTTAAACAAGATAGCAATTTGCAAGTAAAGGTCTTGATCTTGGATCGAAAATCTACTTCCTCGGTGCCACAATAAGCACATCATCTTCTTTTTCCTTTCACAAACAAATGCATTTCATTGTCAAAATTAAGGATAATTTTTGGTGATGCTAGTCTAGACTTATTTTTAGAAAGAGGTCTTCCACAACTTATTCGTTCATTGCCGAAACAGAAAGACTCCGATACTGAAACCAAAATGACATGCTTTGCAAATTCAAGAACAAAATAAATTCGTCCATAAGAGTGGGAGTGTATATAGCCAATAGAGAATGAGAATATTCTCGAGAAACAAAAGATCAGAGAAGAGAGAAATTATGACGTCACTGTATCTTAGCAGCAAGAACAAAGGATATTTGAAAAGAATTTACATGAGAGAAGGAAAAAAAAGAAAAGAAAAGTATGGGATGACAAATGCCGTTGTTTATGATCTTAATGACCTTACATATTTCATAGTTTAATGTGAACTAAACATTTTTTTCTTTACTGAAAAATAGGTGGGTTAAAAATGACCCATCGGTCCTCAAAGGGTTAATTTATATGAAGCTTATGATCATGGCATATTTGATAGTTTTTTCAATGGTATGGCCAATGGTAATTATCCACAACTGTACAATATACTTGATCAACTATCACATTATCAAATGTCATATTCTCCTTTTGATTATACTCGTACTAATACAAAATTTGGCTATTATTAATAGACTGAAATTTCGTTTATTTTCATTTCAAAAATATATTTGTAATATTTTTGATAATTTAATAATAAGAAGAAAAAAGAATTTTGATCTATGTTTTCAATTATACATCATGTATTGTTTGAATATAAAGGGTAATGATACTTAGAATACAAAAAAAAATAAGAAACAAAAAAACACTGAAATTAAATCCGATAATTACATTTTGGTTTTATTATTCTATTCAATAAATTATAAGGTTTTTTCTTCTTTCGCAATGATGAAAGAATCGATTTGAGATTGTTTTTTAAAATATCCATTAATTAGATTAAAATATGCATTCACGATTCTTTTATGTAATTGAATTATGATGAATGAATAACAATGAAAAAATAACTATTATTAAACATTCACTAACAATTATCGTAATCATCAACGGTTTTTTTACAAGAACGATTATGATGCAAATAGATAATTCATTTATTTGTTCAGATCAATCTTCGCAATGTTTTTAATTTTTCCGATTTCCAAATCTTTTTTTTTCAAATAACTCCAATGTGTTCTAGTTTTGTCGAATAACTTTGCTTTGTTAAATTCACTCCAATGTACATAGTTCCTACTTATGTTTCTTACAACCGATGATCTCCTATATAACCAATTGATTGCACATAATGAAAAATAACATAGTGGAAATCACTTTTTTTTGAAGATGTTTTGAGTACATCTAATCCTTGGTGTAAAATTTAAAAAAAACCGAAATTTTTAATGCAAAGTAGCATTCAAAAAAACAAAACTTTGGTGTTTTCATCATATAGAAATCTTTTGTCTGTTTATCTAAATAAAGTTTTTTTATCAAAAAAAAAGCAAAATATGTTATATGATCATGTAGTCTAGTAAAATATGAAACATTGCATTGTATTATTAATAGTGAATTACGATTTCTTGTCTGTCTAATATTATCCTATGGAAACAATTTTTTTCGATTTCGATCTCCGTTCTCATAGGACTTTCGGAATTTCTATGACTATTCGATTGTTTATGCTTGAGAAAAAATATCACTAACATGCATTAACTACTTATAGTATGACAGTTAGTGCAATTCAAGGAATCTGAATAAAAATAAATAAATTTGCGATAAGAATAACTGTTTAAAACTAACAAGCTGTTACATAAACATATATTAATATAAATGAAAATAAGATAAAATATTCAAGAATGTCAATACTGATGTTTTTTCTCGTTCTTGCTCTCGCTGAGTACTACTTTCTATTCTATTCGTATAGGGCCTCTATCTTCTCGATACTTCAGCTAACATACAAAGTGCGACCCACTATTCACAATGCTTCTATACATCGATCTGCTCTTTTTTTCCTTTTGGCTCAAATGGCTGCAAGGAGTCGTCGAGAAAAAAAAAAGGAAAATAGTTTTTTTTTTTATCTTCCTTCACATTCTTTTCCCTCTTTTCCTTGTGCCCTTATTGACATCGTCATTTCTTTCATAAACTTGCATTCAGCTCTATTGGCAACGAACAAAAATAGTCAAAAACATATAATAAATGTCATCATCAACGGAGCCGATTATTGTTACTCCAACTGACCAAGTGAGTGTCACTGTTGTTCGAAAATCTGATGGACAATCAATAACATTCGTACTGGATGAAAAAACTCATGTACATAATTTAAAAAAAGAATTAAAATTACGATTAAAACCTAAGTATGAACAAGGATGTCGTCTTATTTTTCGTGACAAAGTACTCAAAGGCAAACATTCACTTAGACATTATGGTATCAAAAAAGGTGTCAATGATCAAGCTATTTCCAGTATGTTTAAACTCTTTTATGTTTTCTATGTTAAAATTTATTTGTCTTTTTTTTTCTAAATATAGTGGATGATTCAAAAGATTGGAAATCGTCATCATCATCATCTGATTCTGAACAGGAAAAATAAACTGTACTTTTTTATTTTACAAACGAACATTTCTATTCAAACTGAACTTGTGCAATGCATACATAGAGAGTTTTTTTTTAGTTAGCATAAAAAAACACTCATTATATACAAAACAAACTAGACACAATATACTAACTATATAATAAGAAAGGAATTTTATGTTTTTTGATCATTTATTACGAATGTCGGAAATATCGACATTTGATATCTCTTTTTATTTTGAGCATTTGATGTTGAAAAAACCTTTTTATTGACTGAATGACATGAAAAATAATTATAGAATATGACAGAAGAAAAGCAATCATGTTATTTCTGATGTGTATTTATCCTTATTTTCTAGAATATACGATTCGTTCTGTTCTTATTTTGATATACTTATTACTGACAAAAGGAAATTAACAACAAAATGGTTCTGATGTTTGTGTTAGTTATAAAAACAATTAGCAGCGATTATTTTTCTCTTCATATAAATAGAAGTAGAACGACAAAAATATAGATTATAATTCTTAACAACTGGTTTTAATATATAAAATATAATAAAGCTAATTATCCTATAAAATTGTATGCTACGTAGAGATTTAATAAAAGACTATATATTTCAGAGTAGTGCTACTAAATTTGCTGACTTTTGAATCATACGAAATGAAAGAAAGTATTTTCTGATAAATAACTTTCATCAAAGAATTTCTCTGACAACGAGGTTCAATATTTCCAATAATAGAATGTTTCCTATCGTAAATATTGTGAACAAGTAAATAAAGGCGTGGAACAAAACATCCTTATTGTTGAGTTATCGTAATAGCGTAAAGTAATTACTTTTCTTTAGAATATATACTTAACACGTCATGTACTAATATTTAAGAGTGAATCGTAATATTTTTTTTTCTCATAATTTTCCACATGACAATATCAATTATGAATGTACAAAACTTTCTAAAGTAATATGACAATTCCAAAAGAAAGAGAAATTATTTTGTTCAGGTTTTTTCCAAACAACTAGTATAAAGAAATAACTAAATGTATTGATCGAGTGTGATAAAAACTTTTTTGGTAGATCCATTATTATATTCAATCATCAATTCCTTAAATAACTGTTGAAAAACTCAAAACTTTACGTCAATGTAAGATCATGATGTTCGATTATGAATTTAGAATATTTATCAGACAGCAAGCGAGCATATTCTAAAATAGATTTTTGAAGCTCATCCGAAATAATATGAAACTGATTTCCATCTAGTTTTTGTGTAGCAAAAATTTATTGAAGCAAGGTCTATCATCTTTCTTCATACTCTCTAAATCTGCCAGTGATGATATAGATTTTATATGTCATAAATCAGAAGATATCTCTTTGTCCTGCCATCATCATAGCGATCAATCATGATGAATAACACATAAAATACCATTCTTACGCTTATTTTTAGCTTTCATTTCTTCTTGATCATATGAAGTTTGTTTTTTTTTTGATTTTCAAGTATCTTCAATTATACTAATCATGTCATTATCAATGAACGAAATGAGATTATGCATAGATCCAATTCATACTGCTATTATTCTACATTATTTTGCTAGTGGGTACATAACTCGGATACATTTTGTGTGCAGAAAAGTGTGCGTGAGAGATTCCGCGTAAATTTATTTTGTCATCATTAGAAAGAAATTCCAACGACATATAATGTCGTATTATGAAGTCACGATTATTAGTATTTCATTCTTTTCTTTTTTTTATCATAGAAGATTTTCATAAAGCATTTATTACAATATGATGATATTTTCTGGAAGTTAAATGATAAATCCATATAAAAAAAATATTGAAAAAGAAAAGTTCTCCACATAAAAGTTACTATGAAAGATAATGAATTCTTGAGGGATATACTATTGGTTTCAAGGAACACTTGAAGGGTTTTGCTATATTTATAGGCGTGCAAGGATCCATAAGAATGGCGCATATATCCCAAAAGGATTTATGAAAATATTATGTAAAACTTATGAGGTTATAATGCAATTTCATGGAGTTTATTATTCTTCGCTTTCTATTTTCGATAGCGTAAACTACGCATTTATCATTTTAATAATCAAGAACACAAAAGTTAGTTGGGACCTAACCATCGTTTAATAAATTTTCAAAGGCCTGATGTTTTCAGCATAATTTATGATAACTCATTATAAACTCTCTGTTGAAAGAAATGTTAAATTGGCATCATAATGTTAGGCATATGTCAGTTACAGTTTTTCCGTTTTCTTTAGTGAATAGAATGGTTTTGCCTTTTAAAGGAAGAAAGCTTTAAGATTTCAGACAAACACAATTGATAGTTTATTTATTTTAACTTGTTTGATAGGAATAGTTTGAATAAAATTTATTTAGCGAGAGATATTGTTGTAATCGGATTATCTCTTGTTAAGGATCATATAGTACTTTGTTTGTCATCAGCTTTTGCAAGAATTCGTGCCTTTTGAATATCTGTTGCATCAACTTCAGGTTTATTTGCTTGTAATAATGCAGCTGATCCTTCTGGACTATCCAAGCTATGCTGTTGATTCAAACCGTCATTTATATAAGCTTTCACTTGATATTCAGATGATTGCATCATGAGAATTATTTACAATGAATAATAATGTTCGTTGAAATGAAAATTGGCGCGATCAAATCATCAATTTCTTACACCAATACGTGTTTTCTTACACTATGTTTAGACGGCGAGTCTATTCACGATAAAACTTGTGCTTGATTAGAAGTTGTGCATGCATACGTATAAACGTTCTTTTTCATTAATCATGATTAGCAGTGTATGCATACATAATCCAGTAATCATACATTCGATTGAGGTATAAAAGGAAGGACTGCGTAGTGTATTGATCATTCTAATAAAAAATATGCATCCACTTGCTGTCTACTCATTTATGAAGCGACACAAGTCAATTGTCTCACGAAAGTACAAACAATCAAAACATCGATCGTTTGATATTTTGCTTATTTAAATTAATTTGTTTTGTATCTTTTTTTTATATAAATAATCGATTGGTAAATTCTGTTCACGTTGTTGTTTAATATCTTCTGTATGCCATTTAATCAGATCTTTTCGATCCTCACTTAATGCACTATTAAAAGCTAATTGTATAGCTATATCATCTTTTATTAAATCATATTTAAATATAATACGATAACGATCTATATTTGAAAAATATTCTTTTGCTTGTTTAGCTGTAGATTTAGCCAAACCTGAAATTTCGAATAAATATATTTATTATTTTTATATGAAGAGAAAAAAAAACCTTTGTAGTATTTGCATTTCTATTTTTGCTAATTTGGTGTTGATGCTTCCCATTGTTCAAATTCAGGTCAGACATTGAATAAAATGGAATTACATCATTACCTTTTATAGCCTAAAAAAAAGAATATATTGTAAGACATTAAATGTGTAGAACCAATTTATTACTGGTCATCGGAATAGGACTGGAGTAGTGGCGGAGCCAGTGGATGACTGGAGAGGGCTGAACTCCCTCCAGAAATCTTTAAGACTCCTTCAAGAGAAAATTATTGAGCTTAGTTGTTCTTTTGAAAAACTTGAAAAATCAAGCAAGATGTAAATGAGAATGGTTATTCTGAACTATTCACTAGAATCTAGGTTGATGTTTATGAAGAAATCGTGCATTTCATTTCTTCAGGACATGCCATTCTTTAATATTCATTCCCGTTTTTGTCGAACAATATTCATAAAAATGACTTATCATTTGTTTTTTTATGCCTATAAACAGACATCTGTACAAAGAATTTACTTTAACTGTTTCAGCCACAACATGCGAGTGTATAACTTCAGTAAAATGATGCTTATCAAGAGATCTACAAGGGATAAAATATATGATTTCATCATTCGAAGTAGGAGGGAAACGGTGCATCGGGTCCTGTTTTACAGATTTTCTGACATGTTTTCTTAGAATTTTGGATTGAGTGTTATGAAAATTCATCTAGAGTGTGAAGTCATCAAAATGGATTTTCGATTTTCAGACACGCATTAGAACTATCGATCAAAGATTTGTAAAACAGAGCAAGATGAACATTATTAGGACCAGTTCATAATGACCCATAGGCGTTTACTTGCGAGAAATTAACCAATTTTTCAATAAAACACACAGAATAAGTACGTTTTTTCGCACATTTTGGTAAAAGTTTGCTGTGTCGATTCATCTCAAAAACTGGGTTTTCTCGACGAAAAAATCTAAACTATGCTAGAAAATCTGTCAGATAGGATCTGATGCATTGTTATCTCCTTTTTCTTCAATGGTGATGATCGTAGGCCTTTACTATGCTTCTATCAAAAGTTATTTAAACAATATGCATATATCTTTTTTTTTTGACATGAATACCAGTAATTTTGAACTGCAGCAATGGTCGGAACTAAACCTCCCAGAACTTTTCCTGGCTCCGCCACTAGCTGAAGGTCAAAAAGACAAAACTTTACTACGAAAGAGACCGGGGCTATTGAAAACAGAAGTTACCAAAACTGAATCGGAACTAAAAAAAAAGAAAAACTTAGCTCTGCACATCTCTATTCCTAGTAGACTTAGTTCAGTGTGCCGAGACGAATCAGCTTTGCTCTCAAAATATTGTTTTGTATAATGTCTTACTTTAAGAATTGACGTAATAAATACTTTAACATAATCATGTTTTGAGTAAATTCAGTCATTTATAATGAATAAAAATAATAATAAGATCTTTAATATGACTACCATCTCGATCTGGATCAGCCAGAATCATTAATTTTTCATAATGTGATTTTGATAAACCATTTCTATTAGCATATTTTTCTCCATAATTTAAATCAAGAATTTTAATTAATTGTGCAACTTCACTATTTTCTGTCATTGTTTTTTTTGTTATTGTTTCTCGAACATTTAACATTTTATCTTTCAATGGATAAACACCATAATGATCATGACCAATAACATCAAGACTATCTACAGCAAGTGCTTTAGCTGAATCTTCTTCGGTTACAATTAATGTACAATATTAAGAATTTTTTGTTCCAGCATCATTTGCATCATCTAATTTCGGAATACCTTTGAGTTTCGATCTTTTTGAAACATTTTGTTTTTATAATTTAGCATCTTGTCGATGTTCAAGTCAATTAAGTACAGATTCAACAATACCAGTTTTTTTTAAATAATGTCTTTTATGAAATTTTCATCATCTTTCAATGGACACATTGAACCGAAATGTTCACGTTCTGTAGCTAATTGGTTTCACCTGTTTGACATAAACAAGACAAGAGATTTTTATGAATTGAATAAACACAGAAATCTTACTGGAATACGTTTGCCACTAAGTGTTATTTTACAATCAGTTGATATGGCTACATCATAAGCACGTCGTTTAAATAATGCCACAAGATCATTATCGAATTTTTCCATTTGAAAACGTTTTAAATCGAGTGTAAATGTAACACGAGTAAATTCTTTTGGATTATCACTTGTTTTAGTGATGATTGTATCTTGTGGATCACGCATATTGTTTGTTCAAGTCTATATCAAACTATTCATCAGATAATTGATAGATAAAAATAGAAATAATCGACTTGTTTAAATGATTTTTTTATATTCCTTCGAACATGTTTCAACGGTAAATTTTGTACTAAAAATATTTGTTACTTTGGCACCGTAACCATTTCGACCACCTATTGTCATAGATAATATGAAAAAAAAAATTCGATAAGTTTCAATCTTACCAGTAACTCCTTTTTGATCATCATTGAAGTTATCTGATGTGAGAAGTTTACCAAAAATTAATGTGGGAATATAGATTGATTCATCTTGAGCCCATTTACGAACTGGAATGTCACGACCATCATTACAAATCTTTATTTCACTTTTTTCTCTAAAAAAGGCAGTATAGAAGAGAGAATTTGTGTTTGTTTTCTTCAAAATAAACTTACTGATTGATATCTATTTCGATGGATGTCATTGTTGAATCACTTTGTTTATTATCAGCAGCATTTACTAAATGGAACAGAAAAAGAAAGTGAAGATGTGATAGTTTTAAATAGTGCAGATTATTTTACCTAGAATTTCATCAAAAATTTTATAAATATCAGACACATAAGTCATTTCTTTTTTGATAATTTTCAATCCTTCTTCACCTTTTTCATCAAGAATCCACATTTTCTTTAAGCAATCATGATAGAAGACATACATATAGAAATAAAAATCATACTTCCTGACATAGCTTATTTGAACCGATATCTGTTTCAGATCGTTTAAGAATGTGATCAAATTGTTCGAGAAGTTGATATGTTTCTTCATCTTTATTTGATTCATTGCCGATAAATTTGTTCATTGAAGATGCCATTACAAAAGCATTGTCTTCAATAGAAAATAGCGTTTACAAACAAGTGTAACGATAGATACTTGTCTGTTGTTGCACCAAATCTAAAAATGAATAATAGTTAGATGTGAAATGACTTTTATCTATTCCTCTCCATTTAATTAGTCATGTGACACTTTGTTCGAATCTATAGTTTATTCTCTCTTCGAATAAGTCTTTGTAGTAGTAGTAGATTTAAAATTTCTATGGATTATCGCTTTATATTCAAATGATTAGTCAATTTAAAATGAACACTATTGTTGTTCATTTAATTTGTACAAATATGTATAATTTATTATTTTTCAATGACATTAATATGTAATTCAATATTTCGTAATATCAAAACAAAAAATGTTTCCATTTTATTGTGATAGATGCCCTTATCTTTCATTTTAACGATATAAATAGTATAACGGAACTAGATAAAGAGTTATGAAAAATCTTTTCTATGTTTATTATAAGTATTGAAGAGAATTCATTTTTAGAAAGACGATATTTATGTAAATCAAGCTTCGTCTGACTCGTTATTTTATTTATTTTAATAGAGCAATATCGTATACTACTAGAAATGGAGATCATCTAAAAATAATAGATTTCTCACATTTGTGCTGCAAAAACAAAGTTTTATTCTTTGCTTCTACTTTTGACAAAAGTAGAAATTAGCGTGCATGCTATTTTGGAATTGAACTATGTTACTCATCATAACTATATCACAATGAAACTAATGAACTTTTGCATAATGAGTGACATTAATTTCATCATTCTATACTAACAAAGAATTAATCAACCATGCTCAAATGTTCATATATGAAATTAATAGTCGTCCTCAATGTAAAAATGTGGGCATAATATGATAACAAATATTTCATATTTAACAGCTGCTTTTTCTACTGATCTAAATATAATCCATTCATACAAATTTTCATTCATTATATATCAGATATTTGAGATATTTAAGAGTTAAATGATCATGAAATCATAATCCTGTAACGATCTCTGAAATGCATTGTAATATGAAATCCAATATTTTCAATAAATAGTTTTAAACAGATAATAGTGTATTGAAGTAAACCATTAAGAAATGATAAAAATTATTCACCGATCATGTGTTTGGACAACGACAAAATTTAAAGTCAAACAAAAAAAAAAGAAACAAAACAAGCAAAATTTAGTTAAAAACATTTGCTTATATATCCAGAATTACATGTACAGAAAATCTTTGACACGTAGTAAAACAATGAAGTGATATTTAGATTATATTGGGAAAAAATCTTGCTAAAGGAAATATCCTTTGAGCTTGTTGAGCCGGGCTGAGCGAAACGTGAATCGGGCCGGATGAGTCTACACAATATTTAGGCCACTTTGAGCCTAGTCGAACTACGAAAAATTGGCCTATTTTCGAGCCCTACCATTTCGAATAAAATTATTTGTTTCATTAGCTCATCCAAACAAATCTATCTGCTTGTGTTGTAAACCTAAAACAACTTATCTTTAGCTATTGTCTACGTGTAATGAAAAGCATTTCTTTCAAAAGGAAGATATATAGGTAAAGAAAAAGATATAAATTGATTTGTGAATAGCCATAATTTATTTAGTGGTTTTATATCATCAAGCACCATATGTCTATTGGATTAATATCTATGTTCAATTTTCGTGCAGACTTTTTAGCGTTCGACGATTCCGAAAAAAAACTGGAGCCGACAACCGAATCGGAACCGTATACAATCATAGACAAATGGAAAAAAAGTAAAACCTGTTTTGAGAAATCTTGATTCTTTAAGTTTTTAAATTAAAGATTCTAGTACATATGTAAAATGTTGTTTTATCTAAGTAATAAAGTGTGAGCCGCCTATAATGTCAACAATTCAGGAGTTAAGATTTCGCAAAATTAGTTTCAAAATTTCTGCATATATCTGGTGATTTAATGGTTCTGTTTTCACATGATTTTTTGAGAGAGAAAGTTTCAACTCGTCACTGGCGAATTGAACAAACAGCAAAAATCAGAGATTTCGTAACATAAAAGATAGGAATAGCTTAAAAAAAAGGGATGTCGTAACAAAATTTACAGGGCGATCGTAACAGTTAATAAAGGAAGTTCGTAACAGTTGCAGAGCTTTTGCAACAAAGCAACAGGGATTTCGTAATGAAATATATGTTAATCGTGCTTTATTTACGTACAGAAATTACATGGATTTCGTAACGAATTGTACAGGGCTGTCATAACAGCTAAAATAGAATTTTTCATCATATATTTCAAAGGACGTAAGCGTGTCAAATCAGGGCTGTCGTAACAAATTTTATAGTGGAGACATAACCGTCCATTCAAGGTTGTCGTACCATAAAAGTATAGCGTGTTTGTGTTAAATTATAGGGTTATCGTAACGAAAGATTAGGGCTGTCGTAACCAATCGTCTTGTCCCTATATATTATCACTCATATTTCTTCAGTAAAGTATAGTATAACAGCCTTGTATAAGAGGCTACGATAACCCTGTAAAATTCATTACGAAATGCCTGTAATTGAGGTTGTGATAGTCTAAAATGGTACATATCAAAACATCGGTTATGATCGCTCTGTAAAATTCGTTACGATATCCCTGATTTTTTGTTACGGAACCTCTATTCAGGATTTTCGTACTGTCAATTCGTTATGAAAGTCAGAAAACAAAAATCGTGATGAGTTGAAATTTTCGCTTTTGAGAATATAATTGGAATCGTTTTCTTTTTCATTTTTACTACTTCGCATCGGAAGCGCATTTTCAGTTCCAAGTAATTTTAGCAACTGCAGAACTCTACTTTCTGTATAGCTAGTCTTTTCCTAATTTCAATTTTGATCAATTACAAGTTATAAACTAAAACGAAATAAAATAGGAAGCTGTGAAAGTTGATAAATATAATCACAATCCTTTTATGTTTCTTATTCTTTGGTATGTTCTTTTTTTCTATATTTCCTTTCTCTCATATGGTTATCCTTTATAATGCCAATGTGATTTTACTATTAATAATGTTCTTTCTTCTTGTTACTGTGACTTGACTATTCTTTGTCCATATGTTTAATTATCATTATAGCACTATATGTATGGTTTTCTTCTTTTACTGTCACACGGACGAAGTTCGTCCATGATAGTGAAGCATGATGATACACTGCACATTGCATTTCTTAAAAATAAAGTAATATTATAGATATAAAGAGATTTTGTCAGCGTTTATTCGCATATAGGACACAAAGAAACAAAGAGAAACAATGCCATTTTTTCATTTGTTCATTCGGTGTGAATTATGAGTATAGAAAAATGTCTCATTGTTTTTCATTGGTGATGAATGACGACACGGTCAAATAGAGAAAATGAGTATATACATAAGGGGTGTTCCGGAAGTTCTGAAACGATTTTAAAATTCATCGTTCTCGCATTCTGCAAAAGCAAATTTGTTGAAACTTTGGTAGATTGTTGTACATATATAGTACTACATAACTACAATGTTTGAGATCTATAGGTTGTACTATGGATGAGAAACTGTAACAACACTGACATGTACTATTTTTTAAATTTTCCTGGTCATCTTCGAGGTGTGCAACATTTTTTTATTTCGTCTATATCTTGGCTTAGGTAAATGATAAAATCTTGAATTGTTCTTTAAAAGATGCGCCGTGAAAAGCTCTACAAAAAGTGCAATAACAAATCCCTATTGACTTTGTGTTAATGGTTTCTGCCATACTCAAAATGAAAAACCTGCATGGTAGTACTACTTCTCACCATATTATGCGTAATAAAAAAAGGTTTGGAAGACCTTTCTGCTTTCCAATAGGAATTTGTTTATATAGCTTTTGTGGAGCTTTCGACAGTGCATCTTTTGAAAAAGAAATCAAGATTTTATCATTTTTTCAAGCTGAGATACATGCAAAACAAAAAGTTCCTCCAAACATTTTTTATTACGCACAATATGGTGAGAAGTAGTACCATCATGTAAGTTTTTCATTTTGAGTATGGCAGAAACCATTAACACAAGTCAATAGGGATTTGTTATTACAATTTTTGTAGAGCTTTTTACGGCGCATCTTTTAAAAACAAAATTCAAGATTTTATCATCTACGTAAGCCGAAATATAAATATTTTGGTAGACCCGGAATACAGGAAAATGTTAAAAAT